GCCGCTGGAGTTGCAGTACAGACGGTGCTGTCGGGTCGCTACCCTTCTCCACGAAGGGAACCGGCTGTTGGCCGGGCACTACAGGGCAGTGCTACATGACCCCCAGCACGGTGACTTCATTACCAATGATTCTGTTCCAGCACAGCGTGTCGGCCCAGATCTGACCCAACATGTTCAAAGCAATAGCTATGCATTCATTTACAAGTACTGCCCCGAGATGCCGCAAAGCTTGAATTAGCACGTTGCTTCTTCAGCAGTCTCAGTCAAGCTGTTGTGTGGCTACAATCGGGCTGTACTTAATTGTGATAGCGCGTGTCGACCTGCCACAGTAGACTGCTAGATCATAGCATGATGCCCTTGCTCAAGGGGCCCTAGGGCCGGAGGGCATCTACTTTTGGGACCCACAAAAGGTGGAGTTGTGCCAATGGCGCCGGGGTGACGACCCTGCCATAATACGTTCGCCTAGCAGAGACTCGTCTTTGCTGCGTGTGGAAGAAGAAGAAGAAGTAGTAGTAGTAGTAGTAGTAAGAGTAAACGTCGTTGTTTTTGTTGTTGTTGTTGTTGTTGCTGCTGCGTAGGGGTTTTGTTGATGTACGGAAGTATTAGATGACCGAGGCTTTTACTCGAGGGAGCATGCAGGGGATTGACTGAATGTAGTTCGATATGATCGGGTTATGAAGGTCTTATATTGGGTCTTGTTGGGAGTGTTACAAGGATGATGCTGCTGGCCGTTTATCTTGTGCTGGCATTTCTGGACCAGCTGACGCCGATAAAGGGAGCTCAGCTGATGCTGCTAGTATTCTATGTCTGCTATTGTTCTAGTTCCCTGTTATAGTAGACGGCCGTGCTGGGCTAGCTGGGCGGAAAGATCCCGAGCTGATGTTCTGGATTCTATGTAGGCTTTCTGGGCCAGCTGGGTGTAGTATAGTCTACTACGTAGCCTACTCGAGCCCTGGATCGAGACCCGCGGGTTTGCATCGAAGACCGATCTATGATCTAAGTCCTAGCCCACGGAAGACGGCGTTTCGCTGGCATTGAGATTGATCGTTTTGGATCATCGGCTGGAACGCAGTGGATCCCAGTGCGTAGTGCAGATCCATGAAGCCCAAACTACGCGAGCAGCTCTCCGAGCTCTCGTCCCCTCACCGCCTGGCCCTGGCCCTTGGCCCATGTGCGCGAATGCGTGACGTAGACCCCCCGCTGTGACCGGAGTTCACCGTTTCGCTCGGCTTCCGCCAGAACAGTCGGGAGGGAAGCCATGGAAGCCAACTCGACCAGATGGTCAACTTAGGCTTCAGCCTCCTTGCGAAAGCAGCGTCCTGACACTTCGCTGGCTGAGTTGTCCTGACGTTGGAGAGTTACTGGTGCGATGGTTCTTGGCTCGAGAAGTTTTGTCAGACATGGAGGGTTCGACGGAAGCGGGACGAAGAGCCGGGGCCTCGGCAGCTAGTCAATAATCACCTGAGTTAATGCAATCCAAAGAAACCCAACTGGCTGTTTTGCACCTCCAAGAAGACTGCGGAATCTCCAGGTTGCAGAATCCTAGACTGTAGACTCACGAAGCGGCACGTTGGAACGGTTTGCGGAACGCTTCCCAGGGTGCTGCAAGTCCGACAGATTCCAAACATCAGCTTAAGGAGCCTCTGCCTTATGACATGTCACTACAGAGTCAACATTGTTCAGTAAACAACTTTGCGTAGAATCTCGGGCCACTCTCGCAGTTGGACCGGTTGTTCGTTCGGTTTGGCCTTTCGGGCTTTTCGCTGTGTTGCGAGTCAGCCTGCCTTCGACTTCATAGTTGTGGTTTTCTGCCATCCGCTCACTCTACACTAGGGAGGTTCATGTTTTTGTTTGAATTATTTCAGCATCACAGTTGACGTTTCAACACAGAAACGAGCTTTGATTGGCAATCTTACCGCAGTTTAAAATCGTGTTCGGAGCTTGGCACTTTTTTGGAACACGGCGTTACATTTGTCGGGCTCGTGTCCTATAGTTAGTCCCATGTCCTGGCTGACTTTTCTGCTTGACTGTCTGCACCCAAGACCTATGCTGTCAGAATCAGGTGCTGCTGTTCGGATGGGGTGCTGCCGCTGAGCAAGTTCTCAAGGAATTGTGCAGGGCCCAGTCTCGAGATAAATTTGCAGATCGTGATTGGCGCAGAGCGCATCTAGTGTTCAGAAGGTCCTCGATCGGCACTGAGCAGGCCCGGCAAGCTTCCACCAGGATTCCGTCTTTTGGATGAGCTGCCCTGCGCCAGGTGGGTGGAAGCTTACCTTCGTCGGCTGTCTTCTGTATTTCTCAGACATCACAAGCAAAAGACTGTGCTCGGTTCTCAGACGCCTTCCGGATCCTTGATTTTTTCGTAAGTATTTCGATCCTCCAATGCATGTCAACGTGCTTGAGGATTTGCGGGACGTTTGCGCAGCTCTTGGCTTCAAATGCGTCAGCCGGCTACGGGCTTCTTCGACTTCGTGAGGTGTGCTCGAAAAACAGTGCAGGTACTTTCCGACAATGAAGTCGAGATCTTGGAGAGACTTCGCCGCAGTGAGACGAAGCCACAACCACGGTTGGGACACTCTAAGCCTCTGAGCCAACCTCAGAATGGTACGCGGCTTTCGGCCAGACTTGATTGTCTCTGCGCCCGGCCCTTGGCAGTTGACTTTGTCCTGGAACACTTCGGAAGATCTTGAATCTGCCGTTTGTAAGGTCTTACAGGAAGAAATTGCCTGGTAGCGTGCCTGGTGCTTGGGAAAGACTTGCTTGAGTTGCCCGTGGTGCAATGCAGTCCGCTCTCGCCGCGAAGGTTGAACCTGTGCCCTGATTGTATCAACTTCCACCCGTCTCTGCTGCCCAAGCATCGGGGATGTTGGTGTGCAGCCTAACCGGAGCAGGAGATAAGTTGCTCTCGAAGACGGTGCCACAGTCGCTGGATGGCACAGGTCAGGCTTCTGGTGCATTTTTGAGGGCGACACCGAGACAGGTGTCACATGCCACCGCATGGTGGAGGTGACAGAGATCCTTCAGTGCTTTGGTGCACACGCACTGTTCCATGCCTTGAAGCAGGCATTCGATGCTGGACTCGTGCTGCACCAGGAACGTATCGTGGTGGACTGGAGCCCAGGAAACGTTCGGTCTCCCCAACATTTGGGCCAAGACCTGCGACCAAGGACGAGGTGGACACCGCCTTTTCTGCCCCGCCCACAGCCCATCAATAGCTGTAGATTCTCCATGATGCCAGAGGCGTCTGCTGGCAGGTTTACCGGAAGCTATTACCGGTGACTGCACGGTGTGCGCGGCAGGTGCAGCACCCTCGGAAGCAGACAGCAAGTAAAGCCGAATGGGGGACACCAAGGGGTTTCTAGTCAGGTATGCAGCCTGTAAGCTGTGCTTTTTCTGGCCCAGGTTCTTGCGGTATTTCAGTTCCGAAGGTCTACCTGCAGGCCTGCAGCAGTCACTCCTTTACACCGGAGTTGATCGGCCACGAGCAGGCGAAGAGCAGAAAGGTGAAAGCTCCTACCACTACAGGACTGCAGACTGCATTCGTATTCTTTACAAAGCTCAGCTTGCCCTGTTCCGAGCGCATGCACCTGTTGCAGGAAACTCCCATTCAATGGCCTGGTCCAACCAGACTGGTCTGATCAGCAGGACAGATGCATCGCTCAAACATGCCCAGACATAGTGCGAATGTAGACGGTTTTACCTTTGGAGGTCGCGCGCTTCATTCGGGCGATGGAGTTCCCGCCGTTTGATGGTGCAGCCGTGCTGGTGGACGGCAAACGACTGCTGGTCGACTCTGTCGAGGAGATCTCTGATGGCTTGTCGGGGCTGGGGCAGGTCAGAGCCGAAGACAGCAGCCGCACCGTTTTGAGGCATATCGCAGCCTGATGCGCGGCGGTGCTGCTGCGCCCGTTGCTTGACAGCAAGGCTTCGGGCTTGGTGAGACTTGAGGCTGGGAGTTTACGCCCAGGAGCCAGCTCCGCAAAGTTCGTGAGCTGGTTCTGACCTTGGGATGCTGCCAGCACGACACGGCTCTTCCGACCTGCTCCATGAACCTGCGAGGTGGCTCGACCCGACCGATTGTAGCGCTGCGAGAAGAAAAGCTGCGCGATTCAACCTGTGAGCTGTCGCTGTAGCCACAGTCAGAGATTGATGTTCGCAGCCTCGGCTGGTATGGAAAAGCATGGGACAAAATAGATGCCTCAGCAACTGCAGCACGCAGAGTTTGTTTGTAGCCGTATCCTGCCGTGTGTAGCATGAGGTGAGTGTAGTGTAACTTGATCCGCTTCCAAGTCTGAGCGTTAAGGGAAGAGCTGCTACCCAACAATCGACATGCTCGGGAGCCCATCAGATGTAGCCTCTCTATGTGGATGGTTGGCGGGTATGATGTGATTCTCCCGACATGCTGTGGGCAGGACCAATCTTGTCCCGTCCCAGCTTTCTGCACATGAGAGTCGCGCCCAAAAGCAGGACGCGATTACGACAGCCTCGGAGATGCCATCCCCGATCAAGAAGCACCCATCCCCAGGCTGCGGCAGGCTGGTGCTCGTCTTCAGATTAGCACATCAAGGCACCATCCCGATTCCGAGTACACACCGAGTTCGCAGGCTGGCAAGTCATGGGGACACCTCACGGATCCAGGCTTGTTGGCGAACCTGGTGCACGGTACAAGGCTGCACAATCTCGCTCTGAGGCTCAGCGATGTTGCCAAGGCGAGAATCGTGGGGGCCCTGTTTTTTCGTTTCAACGTTGTTAGGGTTTCGTGTGATGTGTTCGGTCCGAGCAAAGAGGTCCGATGACTGGGCGATGATGCCTTCCCGGCTGCCGCAGTCCTTGGGCTACCAGGAGCCCCTCTCTCTCCAAACCGGTGCAAATGGAAAGCACCCATCGCGAATCATGCTAGAGGATGTGAATCTTGGAGTTGTCCAGCAGGTGCTTAGATGCAGTTTCAGCACCATCGGTTAGTTGATGTTAGCTAGGACAGCTTGATCAAAAGCGGTCCCGAATCCTCGCAGGTGTATCCCCGGTCCTTCACGCTGAGCTCAGGATACGAGGCGCTGCCAAGCAACGATGACCCAATCGATTCAGATTCATGCCAGGTGGACCCAACACTTCGTTTCGGCGGATGCCGCGATGGCGAGCTGTCACCAATACGCGACTTCTGGCAGCACACAACTCCGCGTCAGCGTTTGGCTACATCAGTAGAGGAATCCTGCATGACAGGAAGCAAGTCACATGTCGAGTCACGGTAAGCTGTAGCCTGAACTATCCCCTTTCGAACCAGATCTCTGAAGTCTGAAACTTTCGGCGTGTGGGGACTCCGCTGAGGCAAGTACGGTGGTGAGATCAGCTTCGCCGTTGACGACCGTCTATAGTCTGCCAGCACAGGCCCCGTGTGCTGGTTCTTTCCTGCACGGAGTCATAGTTTAAGCCGTTTAGGCCTTGCAGCACGGGCCGACCCCGCCACTACCACGGCGAACCCCCTAGGACCTAGGCCTAGGCCTAGGAGCCTTCATGGGCCGCTCGGGCCCATCCGGTCTCAGTCTTCGTGCAGGGCGCAGGTGGGAGAACGAAGTGAAGCCAAGGGAAGGCGCTGGAGATGGGGAGAACTCGCGGGTTGCACCGCGAGGCGGACGCAGGTCGAGGCAAAGCGAATACAGCAAGCAAGCCGGTTCCGTCGCTGGGCGTTCTCCCACAGCCGGGGTGGGCGAATCTCAACAACTGTACCAGCTCGTGGTCTGCATTAAGTTCGCATTTTCGATGGAGGTTTATACAAGACAGCCCAGCCCAGTCACTTCGGTTTCAAACGGCTGGGGCCTTACTGCCTTGGCAGGCAAAAGGTCCAAGTTCAGACTGTCTGAAGCTGGCTTGCTTGAGGCTTGTCAGCCACTCGCCCGGCCTACATTGGGCCCGTGGAGGCCCGACAATTCAAATCCAGGGAGTTGTCTTCGAATGTTTTCCTGGGCACCTCGTTTCTGCAATTGCGGCAAGGCCACTTCTTCCTACACCCAAGTGCTTTCCTCGGGGCATGAACATGGCATGCAGACGGACATCTGAGAAAACACGGGTGTGGCAGGGTGTCGTTTGTTCACTACGTTGCGTAAGCCTGCTCCCCTCTAGCGGCAGATTCGCAACTGGACATCTGATGCACACCCGCCCAAGTCAATACTTGCCAAATGCAGAACAATCGAACTGAGGCCCAGGTCGCCGCACCCAAGTCTTTCTCCCAAGGCAAGTACGTGTCGTGGTCCCCAGGCGGGGAGTACAGCACAGTGCAGCTGCGCTCGGGAGCTCCGGAAGCCTTTTCCCGAGGCTCAGGCTCAGCAACGTGGGCCAACTACTCGTCAACCGACAGGGCCGGTGATCCTTGAAATCATCGCCTCACAGCTTGACACCTTGATTCGCGCACAGGCTGGCGAGTGTGGGCGGAGCGAGGGCGCACTCAGCCACCTTCTCTGCAATAAGCCAAGGCTTGTTTTTCCCTGAGAAGGGTGCTCGCGCGAGATTTTCCGAGGCTCCGCCAGAGCAACCGCTGGAGACTAAGACGACAAAAATCTCGAGCGCAAAGTCGAGGATGA